TAAACCATAATTCTGAAATATATAATCATTGCTATATGTGGAAGAACTAAACAAAAAATTAAAAAACAGAAAAGTTATAATTTTTTTCATTTATTTCTCCGATTGTTCCTATGGGAGCTATATGCTATAGTCGTCCGATCCGGCTCGTTCCGACTTATATACTACCTGCAATAGAAAGACAACTTTTGGGAAAGTTTCATGCAGATAGCTTTAAAACTGAGAGACTAGTTTGCATATAAACGGACGGACAGACGGACAGACGGACAGACAGACGGACAGACGGACATGGCTAGATCGACTCGCCTAGTGATGCTGATCAAGAATATATATACTTTATAGGGTCGGAGATGTCTCCTTCACTGCGTTGCAAACTTCTGACTGAAATTATAATACCCTCTGCAAGGGTATAACAAACAAAAAAAACTTTAAAATTAAACAAACAAAAAAACATAAAATTGAAAAAAAAAAATCTTTAAAGAAAAACAAAACAATAAAATCATAAAAATAAAAGCATAAAAAAAACAACCAAAAAAATGCAATACAATTTTTAAGAACAAATAAAAAATCACAAGGGCAAACAAAATTAAAAAACAAGAAAGAAAGCAAACTTCGGCCAGCCGAAGTTCATATACCCTTGCAGCTATTGCAAGAATTAAATATTTTTAAAAACAATAAAATTATGATTTACTTGCGTATATGTTTAAAAACTTAAAGCTATGATGATTTGCAGCTCAATTATTACATAGTTATTTTATATATTTTTATTATTTCTATGGGAGCTATATGATATAGTCGTCCGATTTTGATGAAATTTAAACCGTAATTCTGAAATATTTAACCATTACTATATTTCGAAGAACTAAAAATAATATTAAACAAGAAAGAAAGCAAACTTCGGCAAGCCGAAGTTCATATACCCTTGCAGCTATCGCAAGAATTAAATATTTTTGAAAACATTAAAATTATGATTTACTTGCGTATATGTTTAAAAACATTGAAGCTATGACGATTTGCAGCTTAATTATTTGATTGTTCTTTTATATATTTTTATTATTTGTATGGGAGCTATATGATATAGTCGTCCGATTTTGATGAAATTTAAACCATAATTCTGAAATATTTAACCATTGCTATATGTCGAAGAACTAAAAAAAAAATTAAAAAACAGCAAAGTTATAATTTTTTTCAATTATTTTTCCGATTGTTCCTATGGGAGCTATATGCTATAGTCGTCCGATTTTGATGAAATTTAAACCGTAAATCGGAAATATTTAACCATTTCTAAATGTCGAAGGACTAAAAAAAAATTAAAAAACAGCAAAGTTATAATATTTTTCATTTATTTTTCCGATTGTTCCTATGGGAGCTATATGCTATAGTCGTCCGATTTTGATGAAATTTAAACCGTAAATCGGAAATATTTAACCATTACTAAACGTCGAAGAACTAAACAAAAAATTAAAAAACAGCAAAGTTATAATTTTTTTTCATTTATTTTTCCGATTGTTCCTATGGGAGCTATATGCTATAGTCGTCCGATCCGGCTCGTTCCGACTTATATACTACCTGCAATAGAAAGACAACTTTTGGGAAAGTTTCATGCAGAAAGCTTTAAAACTGAGAGACTAGTTTGCATATAAACGGACGGACAGACGGACAGACTGACAGACGGACAGACGGACAGACGGACATGGCTAGATCGACTCTACTAGTGATGCTGATCAAGAATATATATACTTTATAGGGTCGGAGATGTCTCCTTCACTGCGTTGCAAACTTCTGCCTGAAATTATAATACCCTCTGCAAGGGTATAAAAACAGAAAAATTATATTTTTTTTTAAATTATTTTTTCGATTGCTCCTATGGGAGCTATATGATATAGTCGTCCGATTTTGATGAAATTTAAACCGTAATTCTGAATACTGAATACTGTTTGCAATAGGAAGACATCTTTTGGGAAAGTTTCATGCAGATAGCTTTAAAATTGAGAGACTAGTTTGCGTAGAAACGGACGGACAGACGGAAGGACAGACGGACATGGCTAGATCGACTCGCCTAGTGATGCTGAACAAGAATTTATATACTTTATAGGGTCAGAAATGTTTCCTTCACTGCGTTGCAAACTTCTGACTGAAATTATAATACCCTCTGCAAGGGTATAAAAAACAAACTAACTATTAGTAAATATTGAAAATAGTTATTAAAAAAGATGTCTGAAGACAGATTTGAGGCCGCGCCATCCTGCTTAATATACGTGTACTATTACCACAACACCACGATCCCACTTAAGAGGGGGTCGACAAGACATGATGTTGGCTTAGATTTGCAGGATCGTGTTCAAAAAACAGTAACACAAACAAAGCGTCAAACAGAGACAACGCACACTATGAAAATCGTTGGTCCACGACGAAAATCCACGCTGAAAATTTTGCTTGTCACTCGGTTGTATAAGCGTTACGCATCTTAGTGTTTGGTAGAGTCTTTGGACAGGCGGACATGGCTAGATTGACCCACCTAGTGTTGCTGATCAAGAAAATATATACCTAACAGTTAATATACTTCATACAGAGGGTATGGGTATAAAAAGACTACTTTTGGCAAGCATTTCGAAAATAATACATCTTTATGCATTGTAACATACGAAACGTTTGCGTATATTCTTGTTCGTGGAAAAACCTGCATTAAATATAAGTTCTTTTTTGGATCTTGTTATCAAATTTTTGACTGGGTGCAGCTGGGTATCTCTGCGTACAGGTCAAAAAATGTTGAAAGTGTGAATTAATACGTATAGCCCAATTAATCCTTAAAAAGTACACACAAAACGCATTTGCGCCAAACTAATTCTTTTTTCCCTTATCGCAAATATGCAAAACTTAGGATTTTGGAGGGGAGGGGTTTAAGGAAAAAAAACGCATATATTTATGATTTTTTTGCGGCGAAATCTATAATGTTATTTTTAAATTGAATTACATATTATTATACCAATTTTTAAGAATGTAGGAAACAATTTTCAAAGAAAAAAAATGAAAAAAAAAACCGGTGACCGAAAATGTTCGCCTTGAAAAAAAGTTGGCTTGCGGCAAACATCATAACTCGTGACCGGATTATCTGTGTTAATCTATATGCATTTCAAAGCTGATGATTTTTTTTTAGGTACCACGGTTATTTTGTTTTCTTTTTTTTTTGACCACTTTGAAGTGTACAACGCACCTGCAGAACAGCGGACGATCAGTGGCTAAGCAGCGGCAGAGTGGCGGCAGAGAACTTCATAAGTCCCATAACTCCTAAAATAATAGCTCGATTTTGAAAATTTTTGGGTCTACCGATAGATATGACCGAAACGCTCACACAACAATCAACCACCCCAACCTTACATGTCTCAGAGTGACAGTTTATGCTTTCACGATTTGTGGGCGTTACAGTGGGCGTGGCTCCTTTTTGAAATAGACTTGCCCTGCTTAGGAACTACTAGAATTTTCATACAGACGGTCAGACGAACAGATGGACATGGCTAGATCGACTCGACTATTGATCCTGATCAAGAATATAAATACTTTATATAGTCGGAAACGCTTCCTTCTACCTGTTACATACTTTTCAACAAATGCAATATAGTCTTTTATACTCTTCGTGATATCCTGCTGATTTATGTGAAGAAGTTACGTTAAAATTTTCAAATGGATCGGTTCAGTAGATTTTGAGTTTTGAAGTTCACGAACTTCAAAAAATACTTTTTTGGGAAAATCGATTTAAAGTTTTTTATACCTGAACATTCTGGTAGCACGGCCTCTCCTTTGAAACGCTGTACCTCCGTTAGTTTTACTTGGATTGATTTAAAACTTGTTGATTCAGAAAAAAATAAAAACCTACGATTTCGCCAATAACTGGGAAGCGTTCACCTTCCAAATGCAATTCAAGGATGATTTGTGATTTGTTTCCTTTCGACTTCCTTGATTAAAAGTGCTTTGTCATATCAACAGGGCCGCAGCGAGATAATCAAATAAATCAGCTATATCCAGCTGTGATGTAATAATTTTTAATTTATGGATTTAAATATACTAATAGTTTATATTATTATTATTTTGATTGAAAACAGTCAAAATCATCATTAAAACAAGAAAGGAAGCAAACTTTGACAAGCCGAAGTTCATACACCCTTGCAGCTATTTCAAAAACTAAATATTCTTGAAAACATTATAATTATGATTTACTTGCATATATGTTTAAAAACTTTGAAGCTATGATAATTTGCAGCTTAAATAATCAATAATTTCTATGGCAGCTATATAATATGGTTTTCCGATTTCAATAAAATTAAAAGCTTTATTCTAAACTATCAAATTATTACAAAGTCAAAAAGAATTAAAAAAAATTGTTTTTATATATTATTGTTTCTATGGGAGCTATATGGTATAGACTGTAATTCTGAAATATTTAACCATTACTATATGTCGAAGGACTTAAAAAGGTATAATTTTTTTTCCTTCATTTTTCCGATTGTTCCTATGGGAACTATATGCTTTAGTTGTCCGATCCGGCTCGTTCCGACTTATATACTACTTGCAATAGAAAGGCAACTTTTGGGAAAGTTTCATGCAGATAGCTTTTAAACTGAGAGACTAGTTTGCGTAGAAACGGACGGACAGACGAACGGACAGACGGACATGGCTAGATCGACTCTCCTAGTGATACTGATCAAGAATATATATACCTTATAGGGTCGGAAGTGTCTCCTTCACTACGTTGGAAACTTCTGACTAATTATGTATAATACCCTCTGCAAGGGTATAATGAAGGTTTTTGTCGCCCGACTGAAAACGGCGGGCCTGGAAAGCCCGTGATATTAAAATCGTTGGTATAAGCATAATGTGTTCAGTTCAGGTTTTTGCCTTGTACGCAAGATACATATGACGCTGAGTGATTATGATTAATTCTTCAATTGCTGATATAAGCGTAATACTCTCTGTAAATGTGACCTTCAGTTCAAAGTCGGCCTTACCTGCCCATCTTCTGAGGCTTAACAATTTAATAGGTGAGTGTCCTTGCAGCACAGCTGGCGCCTTTCCCAATGTGCTAAACATTTTTATGAATCAGCACAAATATGTATATTCAAGATAATGAGCTAAAAATTTTACACAATGCCACTGCTGTCTCCAATGTGACCACAAAAAAAGCAACAAAATGTACTTTAGAAACAAGAAAGGCCAGCCGAAGTTTATATACTCTTGCAGCTATTGCACAAATTAAATATTCTCTAAAAGTTTTAGATTTCCATTTATATGCGTATTATGTTCAAAAACATTGAAAACACCGTTTCGATGGCAGCTATGTATGAATATATATATATATCGTTTTCAGATTTAAAAATAAAAGTTTAATTCTGAAATATTAAACCATTAGTAAACAGAAATAAAAACAAAGAAACAAATAGAAAAGTTAAATTTTTGTTCATTTATTTTTTTTTTTGTATTCCGATTTTTCCCATGAGAGCTAAATGATATAGTCGTACGAGTTTAATAAAATTTAAACCGTTGTTCTAAAATAATTATGTCATATAACTATATCCTTAAGAACTATACAACAAAATAAGAGTTATAATTTTTCCCCCGGTTTTTCATATGGAGCTATGTCGTCCGATCCGACTCGTTCCGACTCATGTAATACCTGCAAGAGAGAAACAACTTTTAGAAAAGTTTAATGCAGATAGCTTAAAAACTGAGAGACCAGTTTTCGTAAAAACGTACGGACATAGCTAGATCAACTCTTCTCGAGATGCTGATCAAGAATATATCCTCTATAGGGTCGGAAACGTCCCCTTCACTGCGTTGCAAACTTCTCACTAAAATTATAATACTCTCTGCAAGGGTATAATAAGGGTGCGACAAAATAGCGTCAGTGAACTAGCAGCGATTGCGGCATAGTGGAAATTGGAACACGGAGGCTCTTTATATTTTATTTTAGTTTTTTCTCTCCTTTAACGAAGGCTTGTCGTTTCGAAAATTGCCAGTTAATTCAGCATCCAAATTTGACGGATTTTGACGGACTTTTGCGATACTAAGGCGATGAAGGTGAAAATTAGAACAACATTGAATAATGGAAAAATGGAAGACGCCGAAGCGCCAGCAATGCAAAATTAATTTACAGTCGTTAATACGAGAACCGTCAGTGGCCAATTGAAAAGGACTTCCGAAAATTCTTAAAGCCTAATCATTATCAAATTCTCAGTATCCATGTATTTTTTGGTCGATAAGACCGATTTCAAAGAGTAAGAACTCTGCCCAAGTTCTGCTGAGAGCCATGTTCGAGGTCAAATTTGATTTTCCACACCACTTTTCAGTTTTTGGTTCGAACTTGCAATTCGGTCCCGCGGTGAATTCCATACTGCACTGCCCGCACCAGCCCTTAACGATAAGAACGAGCAGTTCAGCTGTAGAAACTCACCGCGGGGCCAAATAACAAGTTCGAATCGAACTAAGCGACAGAGCAATGGTGCCTCTATAAGGAATTACTCTATGCCAAATTCTTATAAAAGCTCAAGTTGAAATACACATAACATGTTTAGAGAAATTTTTTCGTAAAGCTGACCGTTTACAAGAAAAATGCAGAAAACTGTTGCCTTCAAAATGTAATATTAAATAATCGCTCAATTAGTTGGACGGGGGTGGCATCACAAAACTTGTATCGATAAAATCAGCTTACTGGAAAATCATCATTATTTTTTGTACCCTTGCAGAGGGTATTATAATTTCAGTCAGAAGTTTGCAACGCAGTGAAGGAGACGTTTCCGACCCTATCGAACTAGCCATGTCCGTCTGTCCGTCCGTTTCTACGCAAACTAGTCTCTCAGTTTAAAAGCTATCTGCATGAAACTTTCCCAAAAGTTGCCTTTCTATTGCAAGTAGTATATAAGTCGGAACGAGCCGGATCGGACAACTATAGCATATAGTTCCCATAGGAACAATCGGAAAAATTAAGGAAAAAAAATTATACCTTTGCTGTTTCTTAATTTGTTTTTTAGTTCTTCGACATATAGTAATGGTTAAATATTTCAGAATTACAGTCTATACCATATAGCTCCCATACAAACAATAATATATATAAACATTTTTTTTAAATTAAACTTTTCTATTTTGTAATTTTTTTTTAATTCTTTTTGACTTTGTAATAATTTGATAGTTTAGAATAAAGCTTTTAATTTTATTGAAATCGGAAAACCATATTATATAGCTGCCATAGAAATTATTGATTATTTAAGCTGCAAATTATCATAGCTTCAAAGTTTTTAAACATATATGCAAGTAAATCATAATTATAATGTTTTCAAGAATATTTAGTTTTTGAAATAGCTGCAAGGGTGTATGAACTTCGGCTTGTCAAAGTTTGCTTCCTTTCTTGTTTTAATGATGATTTTGACTGTTTTCAATCAAAATAATAATAATATAAACTATTAGTATATTTAAATCCATAAATTAAAAATTATTACATCACAGCTGGATATAGCTGATTTAATTGATTATCTCGCTGCGGCCCTGTTGATATGACAAAGCACTTTTAATCAAGGAAGTCAAAAGGAAACAAATATAAGCATCACAAATCATCCCTGAATTGCATTTGGAAGGTGAACGCTTCCCAGTTATTGGCGATCAACAAGTTTTAAATCAATCCAAGTAAAACTAACGGAGGAACAGCGTTTCAAAGGAGAGGCCGTGCTACCAGAATGTTCAGGTATAAAAAACTTTAAATCGATTTTTCCAAAAAAGTATTTTTTGAAGTTCGTGAACTTCAAAACTCAAAATCTACTGAACCGATCCTTTTGAAAATTTGAACGTAACTTCTTCACATAAATCAGCAGGATATCACGAAGAGTATAAAAGACTATATTGCATTTGTTGAAAAGTATGTAACAGGTAGAAGGAAGCGTTTCCGACTATATAAAGTATTTATATTCTTGATCAGGATCAATAGTCGAGTCGATCTAGCCATGTCCATCTGTTCGTCTGACCGTCTGTATGAAAATTCTAGTAGTTCCTAAGCAGGGCAAGTCTATTTCAAAAAGGAGTCACGCCCACTGTAACGTCCACAAATCGTGAAAGCATAAACTGTCACTCTGAGACATGTAAGGTTGGGGTGGTTGATTGTTGTGTGAGCGTTTCGGTCATATCTATCGGTAGACCCAAAAATTTTCAAAATCGAGCTATTATTTTAGGAGTTATGGGACTTATGAAGTTCTCTGCCGCCACTCTGCCGCTGCTTAGCCACTGATCGTCCGCTGTTCTGCAGGTGCGTTGTACACTTCAAAGTGGTCAAAAAAAAAAAGAAAACAAAATAACCGTGGTACCTAAAAAAAATCATCAGCTTTGAAATGCATATAGATTAACACAGATAATCCGGTCACGAGTTATGATGTTTGCCGCAAGCCAACTTTTTTTCAAGGCGAACATTTTCGGTCAGCGGTTTTTTTTTTTCATTTTTTTTCTTTGAAAATTGTTTCCTACATTCTTAAAAATTGGTATAATAATATGTAATTCAATTTAAAAATAACATTATAGATTTCGCCGCAAAAAAATCATAAATATATGCGTTTTTTTTCCTTAAACCCCTCCCCTCTAAAATCCTAAGTTTTGCATATTTGCGATAAGGGAAAAAAGAATTAGTTTGGCGCAAATGCGTTTTGTGTGTACTTTTTAAGGATTAATTGGGCTATACGTATTAATTGACACTTTCAACATTTTTTGACCTGTACGCAGAGATACCCAGCTGCACCCAGTCAAAAATTTGATAACACGATCCAAAAAAGAACTTATATTTAATGCAGGTTTTTCCACGAACAAGAATATACGCAAACGTTTCGTGTATTACAATGCATAAAGATGTATTGTTTTCAAAATGATTGCCAACAGTAGCCTTTTTATACCCTTGCAGAGGGTATGAAGTATATTAACTGTTAGGTATATATTTTCTTGATCAGCAACACTAGGAGAGTCAATCTAGCCATGCCCCCCTTTCCAAATACTTTACCAAACACTAAGATGCGTAACGCTTATACAACGGAGTGTCAAGCAAAATTTTCAGCGTGGATTTTCGACGTGGACCAACGATTTTCATAGTGTGCGTTGTCTCTGTTTGACGCTTTGTTTGTGTTACTGTTTTTTGAACACGATGCTGCAAATCTAAGCCAACATCATGTCTTGTCGACCCCCTCTTAAGTGGGATCGTGGTGTTGTGGTAATAGTAAACGTATATTAAGCAGGATGGCGCGGCCTCAAATCTGTCTTCAGACATCTTTTTTAATAACTATTTTCTATATTTACTATTAGTTAGTTTGTTTTTTATACCCTTGCAGAGGGTATTATAATTTCAGTCAGAAGTTTGTAACGCAGTGAAGGAGACATTTCTAACCCTATAAAGTATATAAATTCTTGATCAGCATCACTAGGCGAGTCGATCTAGCCATGTCCGTCTGTCCGTCCGTCTGTCCGTCCGTTTCTACTCAAACTAGTCAGTTTTAAAGCTATCTGCATGAAACTTTCCCAAAAGTTGTATTCCTATTGCAGGTATAATATAAGCCGGATCGGACGACTATATCATACAGCTCCCATAGGAACAATCGGAAAAATAAATTTAAAAAAATATAAGTGCTGTTTTTTAATATTATTTTTAGTTCTTCGACATATAGAAATGGTTAAATATTTCAGAATTACGGTTTAAATTTCATCAAAATCGCACGACTAATCATATACCTCCCATAGGAATAATCGGAAAAGAAAAATGAAAAAAAATTATAACTTAGCTGTTTTTTAATTTTTTTCTTAGTTCTTCGACATATATTATTGGGTAATTATTTCAGAATTACGGTTTAAATTTCATCAAAATCGGACGACTATATCACATAGCTCCCATAGAAATAATAAAAATATATAAAATAACTATCTAATAATAGAGCTGCAAATCATCATAGCTTCACTGTTTTTCAACATACATATACGCAAGTAAATTACAATTTTAATGTTTTCAAAAGTATTTAGTTCTTGCAATAACTGCAAGGGTATATGAACTTCGGCTTGCCGAAGTTTGCTTTCTTTTTTGATTTGAAGTGAATTAACGTTTTGGTATTTGAAATTAAGTTTTGGTTTTATTTTTTTTATAGTTTTTATCATCAATTTTTTTTTTGTTGCATAGTATTTCTATTCAGTTGCATACGTTTTTCATAGGTAGGAGTAAATAAGAGCTCTGCAGACGATTATTGTTAGGGAATGTTTAGTTGTTGGGTTTTATTTTCTGTTTGTTATGTTTTTTTTTTACAGATTCGGTGGATGGCGAGGAAAGTCAGGAGGGGTTGGAGAAGAAATGGACGATGGAAAAGTAAGGCAAACATTTTTTTAAACAAATTGCGCGATATATGCTATATATACATATATGCCGTCACTGGATAAGCCAATAAAGGGAGCGGCATAGCAAAAGGCGTCTCTATTAGTAATTATTCTTTGGTTAACTGGGTCGACTTTGTTCAAGACATGAAAATAGCGTCTGCATACAACCGCTTAAAAGAGTTGAAACGACGCATTCACACAGATCCCCGCTGATGCAAAAGCAGAAGAGAAATTCAATTTTCCCGCCAAAAAATTAATATTAACGCAAAACGAATTTCAATTTTGACATTCGCAAGTGCAAAGTTTTTACTAAGTGATTTATCCAGTGGATGTTGGCATTTGATGGATGATATAAAATATGGCAACTCCATAATTGCAAAAGCTTCTGATCAAGAATCTTATAGCCAGATTCCATAGTGCATTGGTGGAAAGTTTTTCTTCTGCTAATGATGGATGATACAATATATGGCAACTCCATAATTGCAAAAGCTTCTGATCAAGAGTTTTATAGCCAGATCCCATTGTCCCATTAGTGGACTTTTTAAATGTGCCTGATTCCACTGGCACATTTAGCTAATTATATTCTGACATGTGACTTGCACGAACAGCTGATCTAAGTTTGTTAACTTTTGAATAGTCGCAAATCAAATCGAAATTATTTAAAAGTAATGAATATGAGCTAATTTGAGGTAATCTTTAATGCTCAGCAGGACATCCATTATGTTATCAGGGATCCAAGTATAGGTAGGAGTTTTTCCTGCCAGAGATCCAGCAGTAATGCATTGTGGTACTGCTACCGAGATTTGCTGCGCTTGCTTTTATTTTCATGCTAAATAGATATTATCCCTGAAAGAAATCAAAAATTGCGCCAACCTTGCATATAAAAACCAGCTGTTGTAGTGGTGGGACAAACGGAAATCGTTAAATATCGGTATTTTCCAGTATTTTTTCTAAAAACGTCCGGGACGAATGAATTTTAACCGCATTTAGCCTATGGGATTCCCTGTATTAATAAATGCGCATTAGGCTAAATGCGTTTTAATGCGCAAATGCAATCCGGGTATAAGAGAAGTTATAGACGTTCATCTGCTAGACCCAGAGAGCTGAAGCGATTGAGGTGATGTGCAAACATTAATATAATACAAAAACAATACAATACAATTAGAAAAAACTGAAGTATGTTTTCATTTAATTACATTCAAAGATATTTACCTTAAAACCGCAGACTAGGCCAAAATTCATCTCCAAAAAATACCAAGATAGCCATGGTTACTTGGCATCTAACTACTTAAAAACTGAACTACTACCGAATTTATAACCTACTACTTGCAACAACTACTTGAAGCAACTTTTTTTGGCTCTTTCTAGCACAATGATCTGTAATGGAAGAAAAAGCCGCTGAAGCGGAATTCGGTCGCTGAAGCCCGTCTAAATAGGCTATAAGTCAGCATCAGAGATCTGCAATAAGTCATGCAATTTCTGGTTTATCCGATCATTGATCTTATCTGGTAATAATTTGGCCAAAATGCATCTCTATCTCCAAAAAATTCCAAAACAGCAAGTAAAAATGCTTTTAAATACTTAAAATATACTAAATCAAAACCGAATTTAAAGCCTATTACTCGCCACAGCGAACTGTAGCTATTTGTTTTGCCTCTTTCTACCACATGCACCCCTTAAGGAAATAAAATGCTGAAGAGAATTTGGTCGCTGAAGCAGTAAGGTCGCCTGTTTTAATAGGCTATTTGATTCAGTCTCTTTGTTTAACCCAAAAAGTATGATCGGTGAGCGAATGTTGTAAGCGAACATTTCTTTGGCATCAACCGATCAAAGTAGAGCTGGGAAACTATCGATGCCACGATCGTAGTACCGAATTTTTACCGCTCTGAGCCACCATCGGTAGCTGTTTTGTCGCTATCGATGGTGCTGAATATTATTTTACATCACTTAGCAAGAGGCTTGGTTGCAGAATTTTGGGTAGGAAATATGCAATAAATAAAATATTAAGCTATTCTAATAAAAATGCAAAATAGATTAATTAAAATTGGAGGTGGTGCTAGTGGCAGTTTTAAGTAATATTGCCAAAAATATATAATATATGAAATATGCATTCGAGATTGTTTATAAATTTAATTTGTATAAAGAACCGTACAAAAAACTATATTATCGATATTATCAAATTTTCGCTCCCAAAACATCGAAATTATCAAATGGGGCCACCATCGATAGTTTCCCAGCTCTAGATCAAAGCTTATCAAATATGTTCTCAACGACAGGCGTGGTTGTTTGTGAGCGAAAAAAATGTTATATATGATTGTTTGAGATCAAATAATTAGTTTCGCTTGTTTTCGAATGTTTTCTAAAATTGGTTTTTGTGATTTTTGTATGCGATCGGTGTTTCGAACGAGTTTCCGAGCAAATTACGCATGTCACCAATAAATTAGCTGTCTAACGTGAGGAACGACAATATGATATTGACCGCATTTTATCTGCCGCACTTGCTAGAAATCATTTCCAAAATCCATTTATACAAATTGTAATACTTAAACATTAAGAAAACATTTCCAAAAAGACCCAACTCCCGATCATTTTCCAGTTTTCAGAATCCATGTATTTTTGGGTACAGTTTAGGAAGAAATAAATCAAAAGGAGAAGCCCGATTTCTTAGAAAATAAAGTAAAACCAATAAAAGGAGATCTAGTTGATATACACATTTCAAGTTTAAGGACTTTTTTGCGTAAAGCTGATAGTTTATGAGAAACATTAAGAAAACTTTAGTCTTCAAACCGTAATATTAAAATGAGCGCTCAATTAATTGAATCGAGGTGGCATTACCAATCTTATATCGACATTTTACAAAACAATCGAATAATTAATAATCTCTAAGGTTAATAAAATTTTACTTTGCTCTGATATAAAATAGTTTTACACTCGAATATCCTCATAGTTTTGTTTATTCAATTTATCGTAATGTTTTCTGAGATTTTTTATTTTTAGTTTTTTTTTGCATATGGTTTTATTGTTATTATTTCGTTGTATATTTTTCACATTCAGTAGCAATAGTTTTTGGTAGATGTTTCCCAAAAAGTTTTTAAGTTTTGGTGTTCTGGGACTTCAAGAAAAGACTAAAATTCAGCAGAAATTTTTAGCAATTGAGGTAACGAGCCAAAATGTTTTCCGTTAAAATTGCTTTTTCATTTAAAGCTACTGTTTGCAAATTGTCGTCACTTTGTTTGTCTTAGCTTTGGTTTGAATTCGTGGAAAATGCCCAGGGCAAGCAGAAAGACGAATTATTGGATTTATTAACACGCTATGGGTTGTCTTATCTTCTTTATTTGCATAAGTTGGGTGATTACTTTCATGTTGGAACCAGTACTACCATCTTTATTATAGAAGGAAAGTAGCTTTTCAGCAATTCAACAAAATTTTAAGCAGTCTCTTGGTGGCTGAAATGCGGAAATTTCAACCAGTTGAATTTGTATTGAACAGCTGACGAACAGCTGACGTAATTTCAGTAGCAAAGAGACTATGTTATGGTTTTTTTGCACATATGGTGAGGGAAAACACCTTCGGATTGTAATGAAAGCGACTTATGCCTTCTTTCCACACAGTCCATCCCTTTAAAACGGTTGGAATTTTCAACAAATGTGAAACTCTGATTTCCACAGACACATCCACCTTCGGATTTCAGCTGATATGAACAGCTGTGGTTCGCCAAAACGTAAGCGGCGAACTAACTGGGAAATTTATGGAGCGGCAAAACCTTATGGACCATATCTTCAACGGATTATATTATTATTATTATTATTATTTATATTCAGTAGCGTACCAAAATGTAGTAATTTTAAAACAATGCTTTATTTTTGGTACTATTTTCTGTTCGTTATAGTTATTTTTTGCTTATATGGTGAATGGAGAGGGAAAGGAAGCGCCGCATTCAAAATTAAATTAAATTTTTCATTTTTTACTAATGTTTAAATAAATAATAGCCACATCCAATTCATTTTCCATATATTAATAATTTGTGGTTAAATTTCACTTAGTTTTGACAACTCGGAAGAAGAAGGCAATGACGGTAGGCTGTGGCAGTGTGAATTTGAGTTTCACATTTTCATGTCTTCTCATTGTTTCCCAATAAAAAATTTTGTGATTTTTAATTTAAAATTACAGTTGTTTAGTGATGGAAAAAAATAAACTTAATATACTGGGCAAACAGCACAAGATAAGAACAGCAGAAGTTGACGGTGAAATGTTTTGAAAAATTCTTCTCAATGTTCCCGAAAAAAAAAAAAATTTTTGTAATGATTAATTTGAAATGGCAGGTATGTATCTAGTGATGGAATAAAAATAAACTAAATATACATACTGGGTAAAACAGCACAAGATAAGAACAGCAGAAGTTGACGGTGGAATATTTTGGAAAATTTGGGACGGCAAACTTACATACATATATGCATTGTTATTGACGATACACGGTAAACGGTAGACATAGTAAAGGTAGTGTTCATAATTGTAATGTTATTCAACTCTATCAGCTCCCCTTCCTTGTCGTCCAAGTTGGCAAATGCCTCGGTCGCATTATGGATGTCCTGCTGAGCATTAAGGAGTTCCGTAAACTTACTCATATTTATTATTTTTACTTCATTTCTTTTGGTTTTACCACGATTCAAAAGTAAACAAACCCAGATCAGCTGTTCTTTCCATTCACCTGTCGGAGTAGCATTAGCTAAATGCTGATTTGCAAATGGAATCAGGCACATTTATAAGGTCCACTAATGCGGCAATGGAATCAGGCTAGAACATTGACAAAGCTAACAAGCTATTATTTATAAACTCACAGGTAAATCCGTTTTGTACAATAATTTTTATCTGCGAAAAGTTTATATAATTCCTTTTCTATTCGACAACATCTGCATATGTGCTAAATAAATAAATACATTTATTATAAGCTTTACAGTTATACTCCGGAAGCTTTACTTTTGACATCCCAATTTTTTTACTTTTCATTGGGAAATCATTTAATAACCGCTAATCGCATAAACTCAAGTTTGGTAGGTGAGCCAGGCAGTATTGCGCTACTATGTTAATTTCGATAACGATAGAAAACTCGCGTAAGTACATCTAGTCCATGACTGTGGATGCTTGCAATGAGAACACTAATTTCATTCTTTCAAATATTAAGGGTATTAAAGGGAATGCCTTTAAAGACAGACAATTGCAACCGCCATATACCGGCTAAGATAACATCGAAAGTCTGCCATTAGTTTTAAATCAACCCAGTCGTTTGTGTAGGCATTTATTTACAAACGTATTTGTCACCTAAAAATGTGATTTAAATGATTGTATTTTTACATTGTTCACGTTTACTTATCTTCGCACTAGCGGTAGTTAATATAAAATATTAATGGCTAAGTAGAGCACTTTCGCGATTATAAGATGTTGCCATGCAGAAAGAAGACGCAATAAGTGATAAAAACCCTCCGGCTCTTGAAGATAGCGACGTTGGCATCAAAACAATAAAACCCTCACGACTTGTCGAAATTCATTTTAGCGATTGCACCGTGATTCGAATATATCAATTACGGCCAAACACACTGAAACAAATAACAACAAAGTGCATCAGTTAAGAGAGAATATCACGCGTCGGTGTGTGTGTATAGAAAGAGCGATCTTCACGCGTTGGCTAGCCAGCGATGTCCGGAACCACATTAACGCACGGAAGAATCAGCATCACAAACATCAACACCATAAACGGCGTCGAGAACAGCGAGTCCCTAAGTGGCACCCTTATTCATCTTATGGAAGAACATCATACGCGGGTGGGATCGGTAGCTGGAACAGAAGTAGCAATTAAGGCTACAGACGGGCTAATATCGGATGGAGCGGAGCGATTACGTCGCCAGGGCAGTCGTCTTCAGACCTCGCGGCTTGCTTGCTTTCAGTGCTGCGGAAACTTTCTCACCTATCTGATCAGGCTGCGTAGCACGCCTGAGGAATTGGAACAACGCTATAAGTCCAAGGAGATTGATAAATGTCTGGAGAAGGATAGGCACACATTTCGACGGCAGGTAAGCCAATGGAGCGACATCAACCTATTACAGTGACCCTGTTACAGTTGAAACTACGAAATGTAGCCTTATCCTGGCATCATCGATCGTTTTACTTGCCAATTACACAGGTCCACAGACAAAAAAATTCCGCGAACCATTTGTAATTTTCCTTCATAATTGAGTACTCCTGAGTAATAGTTCCATCAGCTAAGGGTTTCGCGGAGGTGTTTGCCGACAAATTCAATTATCTATCCCACATAAGTAAAGTTACCTTATTTTTTTTTTTGACAAACTTTCTTAATACACCACCGCATTAGAAAAGTTTCCGGCTTGAACCATTATTAAGGCCTTTGGAATATGACGTCAAAGTTAAAATCTCTGCTTTTTCACAATTTCTCCAATCTTAAAAAGCCTCCTAAAATATATCTTCAGTGATTCCATTGATTAATTTTCCATGTCTTTGGAATATGACGTCAAAGTTGAAATACCTGATGTATCGACCGAAATCGAACTTTAAAATTTTTTTTTAATTTTTTGTAAGTTTTTTAAAAACCTCAAGTTTTAAAAATATGAAAACTTCAAACATGTTTTGAAAATCTTAAAGTTGACTCTTTTCATATTTTTTCGAGCGACAATTGATTGCCCACGTTTCCCCACATTTTACAGTTTTGAAAAAATAAAAATACAGACAGGCCTGTTCCGGTTTTCACTCGGAAGTGAATTTGATAATATTTTCGAATTTCCTTTTACAAAGGAAATTTTCCCTTTTTTTAGTCCTTTTTGTTCCCAAGTATAATCTGCTGACTGGCAGGTGTCTCCTATACACAAAGGCGTTTGACTTGACAAAGTTTCGCTGCCTCAGGGCTAATTAAATTTTTGCCCGCTGGTGTCCCTCAGCTAATGGAATTAATGGTATATTAGTTTAGGGCTTAAAATCGGAGGAACTGGCATTGGCGGCCACAAATACAAATTTTAAAATTTTTGTATGCCGTATTAAGCCAGTGCTAGAAAATGCTGGTTTCAATGCTGTGAACTTTTCACAAGTAGTTTTAAAAACCAGAGTTGCCAAAGGCGATGATAAAGGTCCCAACGAGATACGTTTTGCACAAATAAAACATTTAATTAAGCGTTAATAAGAAAAAGAATTTTAAATTTTACTTTGATTAAATGCCTATATTACCATAGATCCCAAGAAAATACTTGTTTTTTTTTCCTACTAGATACTACAACAGGGGCGGCGGAATTGCTAAAATGCCGAAGTCTAGAATCGAATCGATTCTGAGACACAATCACAAAATAATTAGTAAAAGGTCAAATATGTTTTTATAAACCAAATTTGTAAAGCAGTAATGTTCTTAAACCATTAAAGAATAAGGAAAAATATCATCTTCACTTTAACTTATTGCAAAGTGTTTAAATCAATTAATTTCTTTTAAAAGGTGAGCAAACGATTTTGTTTTAGATTCTTTAATTTAAAGAGATGGAAAAACATTAGAATTTTTTATTTTTTCGAAATAACTATTTTTAACGTCGGCAAATGAACAAAATGGGCCAAAATTCAAATTTCAAAAATTCGATTTAAGTCAACCCAGCTTTGAGAATCATCTTTTAAAGTTGAAGTTTTCAGAGCAGTGTTTCTCAAATCAAAAAAAAAGGGGAATTTTAAGAATTTAGTGCAGACGACAAAACTTTCTCGATCTATTTTCTTGCTTATTTTGTAAGAGCCGGGAAGAATATGGAGCAGATATACGTATACAATATTACTTAGACTAAGTGATCTCGCAAAAATTCGGTCACACTAAAATGGTCACTTAGCAACTTTGGCCTGTCTTCAAATGTGTCCAAAAGTTTAGTTGTTTAGTTTAGTTGTTTTTTTTTTGTGTGTCACACTAAGTGAGTGCACTTGAATTAACAAACAAGTAATTTGTTGAAATTAGAGTTCGAGCTTACTCACTTTTAAATGACAAACAAGTAAGTGCTTAAAAATGATTATATCAACTTAAGAAACAAACGAGTTATAGAGTGAAAGTGATAAAAAAATTGAATAGAGTTCATGTGCATAAAGTTAACAGAACAACTTTTGAAATTTAAACTTTTTTCTTATCGACAATTTGCCGTTATTTATCCGTAAATTATTCGTGAAAGAAAAAAATTTGCCGCTTCGAGTCATTTGAGTCGAATTTATTACGTTATGCATTGGCTTAAGAATGCTACCCTAAAATTTCTTCTAGATATAAGGTATATTTTAAAACTAGTAAGGAAAGGTAAATATATTCTTATCTACCAGTCGCAGGTGCATCCATTGATTTAACTGCTACAAGTCGACAGATTAAGTTTCCATTTCAAATGTAATGCACTTTGACCGAGACAGATGCTTATCCGGTAGGGCGAGTCATTGATAATTCAGCAATAATTTCTTGGCTTTTTAAATTGTAAATCTGGGAAATAATACGCGATAGCGTTGTTAGATTGGATATAATTTAGTTGGTATAAAAATTCGGAAAGTAATTTCTCAAGCCCAGTATTTTGAACTGTGTTAAGAGAACGAAAATATTTGATAGACTACTCCGTTGCCATCTAAAGTATTATTCTCTTTGGTTCCTAATTAACTGTTGCTTCCCTTTCGTTTGAAATGATAGACGTTTTGTAGTTGCAACATGGTACTTATGTCGGCCTAGATTATAAGTGCAGTTCTAGACTTGAACAACGCCAAGCAAACTCGAAAAGCAACTACATTCTTGATGTACCACCTTTGTCATCATGTACCAATCCAAAAGTGACTCAAACTGTGATGCGTCGACGGTTGTTCATTATTTTGTAATCTCCCTTTCTTCATTTTTTTTTCAACGTTTAATAATTAATATTTGGCTGTTACACTTTAAAACACATGCAAAAATCAAATTTTCAAGGGAAAAAACCGATCGAATAAATCAATTAAAAATTGTTAGTCGAAGGAAACGAGCAGAACAAGCTAGATTTGTTAATTGTAAGATATTTGACATTTTAAAAATTATTTTGTGATGGCACCTCAGAATCGCTTCTATTCTAATCTACTGGATTTTTTCAAATCCGTTCTGGTTTCCGAACGAATTTGATAGAATCAAAGCGAGGTTGTCTTGGTACGAAAAAAAATTTATTATTTTCTTGAGACTTATTTTTAGAAAGCGCTTTTCGGTTTGTATTTATATTGTTAGAAGTGTAAATTATCAAGGTTAAGCTTTAAAGTGTTTTTGTTTTGATGGGTAATCAATTTAATGTACTTATTGTGCATTATTATATTTCATCATCTTTGGCAACTTTGGTCCCGAACACTACTTGTCAAAAGTTCCCACACTGGTGCCAAGCAGCTGATTCACGCACAAAATTTAAAATACAAGAGCTGCCGCAAGCTGGGTAACATGGGCAATCCAGGTATGCCCTAGGTCGGGTCCAATTCAATCCGGTAAAATTGCAAAAATCTGTTGTCTTCTAAACTCGTTATTCGCCAAAAATAGCAATTGTTAAAATCAAACCAACAATCTTTAAAATTTTTCGGGCAACACAGCTGATCTCCACACGAGTTGTTCAACACTTTTGCCGGTCAGTAGAATTTGTTATTTTTGGCTACCAATGATGATCAGAGATTTGCCTGGAAAACTTAGGCAAATCATAGGCTTTTGTTAAGAGCAGTACCGGCAGTCAGTTGTTTTTTCCCCCCAAATAGTAATTTTCCTAGGAAATTTGCTAACAAGCAAGGGAACTTTGATAATATTAAAGGGAAATCCGAACTCACTTCCGAATGAAAAATGGAACAGGCCTGATAGAGTTGTCAAACTAAGTATTCTGTCGGATTGCATACCCAACACTAGAAACTGAGAATCTGCAGCACTCCTCCCCCACTAACAGTTCGTTCGTCCTATCTATACTAGCGATTATCGCCGGAGCAGCTGCCAAGCGGCAGAGCGGCTGTAGAGGACTTAAAACCACTAAAATATGTGCATAAAGTTAGCAGTACAACTTTCAAAATCTAAACTTTTTTTTTTACCATAATTTGCCGTTAATTATCCGTAAATTATTCGTGAAAGAAAAAAATTTGCCGCTCAATTTTTTTAAAAGTTATCCAATGTTCTGCTAACGTGATATCAAGTTAGCAGTACACAAAATTAAACTTTAACTTTTCGAAAAATTTCTTTTGCAGGACTTTGCCGTTAATTATCCGTAAATTATTCGTGAAAGAATAAAATTTGCCGCTCGTGTTTTACTATTTTTTTTTAAAACAAACCCTGTGTTCTGCTAACTTGATATCAAGTTAACAGTACACAAAACTAAACTTTAACTTTTCGAAAAATTTCTTTTGCAGGAATTTGCCGTTAATTATCCGTAAATTATTAGTGAAAGAATAAAATTTGCCGCTCGTGTTTTACTATTTTTTTTTTAAAACAAACCCTGTGTTCTGCTAACTTGATATCAAGTTAACAGTACACAAAACTAAACTTTAACTTTTCGAAAAATTTCTTTTGCAGGAATTTGCCGTTAATTATCCGTAAATTATTCGTGAAAGAATAAAATTTGCCGCTCGTTTTTTAATATTTTTTAAAGCAATAACAAACAAAATTTAACACATGCATACAAATACATATAAAACACGCGGCCGCCGACATGGCTCTGCCAACGTCGTCGCCCAAGGCGCAGAATTCTAAACACTGTTTAGAGTGGGGGAACGCAGTTTTTTTTACATATATGGACATTAGTAAACTAACTATTTAATTAATCAATTAATTAAAAACCATCAATATTAAAATATGCTCCCATCCACTGTAGACAATGTTTTTCTAAGCTGCAGATTTCGCGGGAGTTTTGCGTTTTGACGTCGACGTGAGCAGAGCTCTGTCGGCGTCGACGTTTTAAATCAGCGCGGCGGCAGAACACGACACAATGGTCGCCACACACTCAATAACATGCTGCGGGTTAACAATGTACGTGTCGACCTCTGCCGCTGCGCTGCATCTGCTCAGTCGGAAAGATAATACACACACATA